TTTATATACTGTGCATCCAGACAGTGTGTGTGCTGTATCTCTAACCGTGGTGATGGTGTTAAGGGCGGTGTCGGCTCCAATGCTGAAGTCTGAGCCAGGCACATTGTTAGATACAGTAGCAGGAATGATCACCATGGGAATACACAGCTCTTCGTATTTCCCTCTGCCTTGAACCATCTCCAATGCACCTGAAAATGCCTGAATAGGGGAATTTTAATGTGACCTGAACAGAATATGGACAGAATGATAACAGAACAGGACATTATATTGTATATTATAGGCATTGTATTGTATATAATATCATTACATTTCATCACTTGCCTCAAAACCCCCAATGATGACCAGAGCATGAATATTGTACTTGGCAATATTCAAGCTGATCTCTTCCATGTACTTTCCAGGTAACACTCTGCATAAACAAAAGAGATTCACTTTTTAAATATTGCAGAACTATAAATGATGATGAAGAATATCTACAGGAGTGACCAGTACCTTTTGGTTCCCAACTCAGAGCCACCTTTCCCTGTCCAGTCTCCAACAGTGTTCCAGGTGATGGGCTCAATCTAACAACATTATGTTAGACAGAATATGACAACACTACAATGGCTTTAATGTCCTCATAATAGTTTTTATTAAATTTTATAACATAGCCACCATTTACAAATTTAAGGTCAGTAAGATTTTTTTAAAAGAAAGTACTAGTTTTATTCAGCAAGGACACATTAAATTGTTCAAAATTGACTGTAAAAGACATCTACTGTATTTCAAATAAATGCTATTCTTTAAGTTTTCAAGAATATATTAATAAGATATTAATAGCACAAAAGAGCACAAAATCAGTATATCAGAATACTAGGATTTCTATATGATCCTGCAACACTGAAGTAATGGCACTGGAATAATAGCTGCTGAATAGTCAACTTTGCTTTACATTTTAAAATATATTATAATAGAAATCAGATATTTTAAATTGTAATAATATTTCAAAACATTACTGTTTGTACTGTATTTTTAATTAAATAAATTCAGCCTTGGTGGCCAGAATTGTTTTTTTTACCGAACCCCAAACTTTGAAACGGTACTCAATTGGTCAATGCTGCTTACCTTTTCCTCAGCCAGACCTTCAAAGCCATCATGAACAGCCAGCATGTTGTGACCCTGGATGATGCCGATCCTGACAGCTGCACGTACAGCTGCGTTCATGCCAGCACAGGGAGCACCCACATTCAAAATAGCCACATTAATGTTACTCTGATGAAGAAAAAGGTACACAAAGAAGAAACACATGATAAAAATAAGAATAAAAAGATAAAAAATAAGAAAAAGGTAATGAATTATAAGTACTACTCAATGTTATTATTATTTGTTATTTTTTTTTAACTTTTTTTTTAATTTATACAAACATTTTTTTTTTTTACTTTTTTTTTTCAATTTTATTTCCGAATCTCCTCACCTTTGTCTCTGGGGGGCGCACATGAGCCAGGAGCTTATATGTGTTCCAGTTATTCTCAAAACTCCTGCACAGGCAGACATTTTTGAGTTTGAATAATTTAATAGTGATACTATACAAGTTTATTTTAATAACAAAAAAAGTATGATATTTCCAAACATACCTTCCCCTGAGCTTAACAGCATCGTCAAATCGACCCTCATTCATTGCAACAGTGACATCCTTGGTCTATATGTTGAAAAGAAAAATTTAATGAATATTATATTTAATATATAATATATTGTATAAATAAATACAATAAAAAATAAAAAGAACAAGTGTTGCAAATCATAGTCGGGGGCGTCAGCTGTTTAAAATGAGAACGAATGATGCCAGATTCTTGAATGAATTACTATTTTGAGCGGTTAAACGCGATTCAGTTTGATTCGTTTGAACAGTTCACTCACACACTGAATCGTTTGCAGCAGATTCGCACACCGAAATACGTACCAGGATGTTTTTATAAGACAGAAAACAGAGCACTGAATGAGGTGAGTATTTACCTACAATCCAAAGTAGGAAACAAAACTTTCAAATGCCTATCGTTTGTCAGCTAAGAAGAAGCAGCTCCTTTTATAAAGTGACGTGACGTGACATGTGGCCAAGTATGGTTACCCATACTAGGAATTAGTGCTCTGCATTTAACCCATCCTTAGTGCACACACACAGCAGTGAACACACACACACCGTGAACACACACCCGGAGCAGTGGGCAGCCATTTATGCTGTGGCGCCCGGGGAGCAGTTGGGG